CACTGGCTTCATCTAAGTATAAAATGAAAAGAAAAATTAGGAGGAAGCACAGACTACAGAATCTTATCACTAAAAAGAACAGTAATAATCAAGTGATTAATAAAGTCCCTTTACAGTTACAGAGACTGGGCCCTGAAGAGCTTAGATGACTTAAGTTCAAACAGGTAGAGATTAAGTCTTTCTTTAAAAATCAAAAATACCCTCATGAATATAAATAAATGTATACATCACCTGCACATCCGACTTCTGACTTCCACTTTGCAAAGCAAAAAGACAGTCTTTGGAGTCGATCGGGAGGGACAGCTGTTGCGATGACAGATGTGAGCCAGCACCTTGACTGAAATTGCCTTGTGAATTTTTCGGACCATCCTCCACAGACTCACTCAAATTGATGACCGAGTCTCTAATATTTGAGATGATCTCATTATTCTCAGCTAGCAAACGCTCCAAATGGTCTATTTTTTCTTGCAACATTGAGAGCTGGCCCTAAAAAAAAAAAAGAAAGAAAGAAAGAAAAAGGCAGCTATATGAAACACCAATATAACTCTGCTGAGGCAAACATTTTTTTCTTTTTTAAATTATGTGGCTGCCCAAGAAGGCAGCCACTCACCCTTTACTTTCCACATTTATAAATGAGATTACAAAAAGTACAAACAGGTGGCAGGGCTCAAACACCCATTTGCAAGAGAAAAGCTTCTCCATGGCTACAATCTTCATTTAATCATAATTTTAGATGTGTACCAGACCAAAAAAAAAAAACCAAACAAACAAAAGAAGGTGTATTATAAAATGTTTCTGAACCCAAGCCTAAAAAATCACTTGGTCCTTGAAATCACTTGTTGTTGTTATGTGCGATTGAGACGCTTGCGATTCACAGTGACCCTATGTACAACAGCCCTAAATTCTGCTATGTCCTGTACCAATCGCACTGTTTCTGACTCCCATTCCAATTACCCCAGTCACTGAATCAATCCACCTCATAGAGGGCCTTATCCTCCTGAACTGTCCCTCCACCCTACCAAGCACGATTTACCTTTCCAAGGACCAGTCAGTCCCTCCTTACAACATGTCCAAAGTATGTTAGACAGAGCCTCAGAATCCTTGCCTCCACGGAGCCACCCAGTTTAATCTTCTTCCTAGCAGTCCATAGTACTCTCAATACTCTTCTCCAGCACCACAGCTCAAAGGCATCAATTCTCCTTCTATCCTCCTTGGTCACTGTCCAACTCTCTGATGCATAACAAGT